CCCCCACCTCTCTCCACCCTCCTCCAAGGGACTTGCACAGAGCCACAAGGTCTCCCCTCAGCCTCCTTTTCTCCAGGCTCAACACCCCCAGTTCCCTCAGCCACAAGGGAACTCAGCACACTTGTGCTCCAGACCCTTCCCCAGCTCTGTTGCCCTTCTCTGGACATGCTCCAGCACCTCCATGTCTTTCTTGGAGTCAGGGCCCAAAACTGGACAAATTCAGTAGCCAGCAGGCCACCTTACTGCAGAGGTTTGTGTGTAGTTCTGTAAGGGTGCTTCCATCTTGCCATGGGACTCATCTTAGAGCTTTTCCTAGATGAAGCTCCAAGTCTGTGCTCAACTGAAGATCCTTCAGCCCAGTATTGGCATTCATAGCAAGGGAGGTTTCTGACTGCTGAGTGCCTTTATGGAGTTCTTAAAAAACCCAAAACAAAATCAAAACAAAAAAAACAAACAAGCAAAAAAAAAACTCCAGCAAAAAACCAAAAACCCAAACCCAACAAAAATCCTAAGCTACACACGGGGCCACCTTTGTTCTGAGATCAGCTGTATTTATTCAGGTAGCTACCCCTGACTTTACCAGCTGACAATTCTGACACAGATCCTTCTGTAGCATTTTCAGGAAGGGGAAAAAATTCCTGAAGCGGGTAAATCTTTGTATTTTTTATTAGTCCTGACATTACTGTTTCCAAATAGCTCTTGAATCTGTGTGATTTCAGTCTTGTGAGTACTTCTCTTAAAAAAAGAGAGCACAGCCTTATTGTTCTCATGTGCATAAAGAATACTGGTTTAGTGCTAGCACAGGGTACAAGTGCCCTTGCTCCGTGGTAGGAAGGCAGCTGTGACCTACTCCTTGTCAAAGTTCATACTCCTGCAGCCACAGTGAAGATCCAGGTTTGCAGTGAGAAGCATCCTCTGTGGCTGAAAGGAAACCCAAACCATATCCCTGGAATAATATGTTCCTGGTTTTGTTTTTGGATTTTTTTTTTTTGGGACACACACACACACACACACACACACAGAAATAACGAAATGGGAGGAAGCTGAAATGAACAAAAAAAATTAATAATAAAAAAAATGAGGTCAGGGTGTGGATTTTGAGTAATAATAGCTTTTTCTGGATAACATAAAAGGCTAAGATTTGAGAACCGTGGTGTTTCAGGAAGGTGCAGTGAGCAATGGCACAGGGTATCACTCGTCTGCATATTTTATTACTATTATTAATATCATTATTATTTTAATATCAGTATTATTTGAAGTTTTCTTTTATTTCCTTCGGGTGTTTGGTAGAAGAAATCAGAGAAAGTTGGGATGGGGCTGTTACTTGCTTGTTTCCTCCCCTTCCTTCTCTCTGAGCATGTCTTGAAGTGGTCAGAATAAAGCAATTTGTTTCCTCCATGGAAATTTGTTTTTTGTAGTAAAACCCATTGCTAGAGGTTTTATTTAATCCTTTAAATCAGGATTTCAAGTCAGTCTAAAGCTCTTATTGCTGAAGTAAAAGGTCTACCAAGCTCAGCAATTTTGTGTCATCACTGTAGGTAGGCTGATCAGCGTGCACTGATGTAGTTCTTAATTTAGTTGGACAAATCTGGACTAGAGGAAGGATTATTATTTTGGAGTCAAAGTACAAGTTGGTATCATATTCATTGTTAGATGTTAGCTATTGATATTTGTACTCTTTCCACTGCAAAGAATAAAATTGGTTTTTGGTTTGTTTTCTCCCCTCCCCCCCCCCCCCCCCCTTCTGTTCAGATTCAATTTATCTTTGGAATGAAATAGCTGAAATTTGGAAATAAGGGTTGGCAGGAGGGATTTGGCTTTGGTTTGTAGGGTTTTTGTTTACACAGCCGTATCCTGTTGACAGTTAGCAGTGTTTAACTGTTAGCTAGCTTCAGCCTACGGAGTATTTGCTGTCTGAATTGGGAGCTTAATTTTTTTAATGACCTTATAATGGCTTTTGATTTGCTCATAGCAGACCTACACAACTTAGAAATGACTTCTGTTTCTGAGGCGTGTTTTAAAAAGATCATCTGGGGTTTTATTTTGTAATTAACATTGGTTGTAGTGGCTAAATGAGTATTAAGTGCTGCAATGAGCTGCCTTAGGGTGTTTCAGACTGCTTTTACGTGAGGGTAAGGCTAGTTGTGGTGGTTGCACTGGGTGAACACTGGGCTAGTGGCCAAACACAGCTGCTCGCTCACTGCCCCCCACCCAGGGGAGAGGGGAGAGAGCTGGGGGGCCAGGGGAAGGAGACTGGTAGGGG